TTTCTCCCCAAACTCAGCATTTCCCCCCAGATTTAGGATTTCTCCCCAAAACTTGGGTATTTCCCTCCCAAACTCAGGATTTCCCCCCCAAATTTAGAATTTCTCCCCCCAAACTTGGGGATTTCCCTCCCAAACCTCAACATTCCCCCCCAATCTTGGCATTTCCCCCAAACCCAGCATTTCCCCCAAACCCAGCATTTCTCCCCCAAACCCAGCATTTCTCCCCAAACTTGGGATTTCCCCCCCCAAAACTTGGGATTTCCCCCTAGATTTGGGTATTTCCCCTCCAAACTCAGGATTTCTCCCCCCAAACTTGGGATTTCCCTCCCAAATTTAGGATTTCTCCCCCCAAACTTGGGGATTTCCCTCCCAAACCCAGCATTTCTCTCCCCCTAACTGGGATTCTCCCCAAACTCATGACTTCCCCCAAAACTGTTATTTCCCCCAAATTCCACATTTCTCCCCCAAATTTGGGGATTTGTCCCCAAACCTCAACATTTCCCCCAAACTCAGGTTTTATCCCCCAAACCTCAACATTTCTCCCCAAACTCAGGATTTCTCTCCCCTAAATTTTGGATTTCCCCCCAAACTCAGGATTTCTCCCCCCAAACTTGGTATTTCCCCCAAACTTGGTATTTCCCCCAAACCTCAACATTTCCCCCCAAACTCAGGACTTCCCCACCCTAAATTTTGGGATTTCCCCCCCAAACTTGGGATTTCTCCTCCCAAATTTGGGTATTTCCCTCCCAAACCCTGCATTTCTCCCCCAATTTTGGGATTTCCCTCCGAAACCTCAACATTCCCCCCAAACTTGGGATTTCCCTAAATTAGGGATTTCCCACAAACTTGGGATTTCCTCCCAAACCCAGAATTTCTCCCCCCAAACCTCAACATTCCCTCCCAAATCTTGGGATTTCCCCCCAAACTCAGGATTTCTCCCCCAAACCTCAACATTCCCCCCCAAACTTGGGATTTCCCCCAAACTTGGGGATTTTCCCCCAAAGCCCAGCATTTCTCCCCCAAACTCAGGGTTTCCCCTCCAAACTTGGGAAACTTCCCCAAACCTCAACATTCCCCCCAAACTCAGGATTTCTCCCCAAAACTGAGCATTTCCCCAAAACTTGGGATTTTCCCTGAAATTTGGGATTTCCCTCCAAATTCGGGGATTTCTCCCCAAACTCAGGATTTCTCCCCCCAAACCCAGCATTTCTCCCCCAAACTTGAGATTTCCCCCATTAAACTTGGGATTTCTCTCCCCAAATTCCATATTTTCTCCCCCAATTTTGTGGATTTCCCCCCCAAACCTTGCACCCCCCCCAAAAAACTCACCCTCCTCCTCCTCCTCCTCCTCCCCGTCCCGGGGGTCGTCGCTGCCGGCCCCCCTGCGCACCCCCCTGGCGAGGGCCCCGCCCCCAGGCCGTGCCGCGCCGCCAGGCGCAGCAGCTCCGCGTCGTGCACGCCACGCACCCACCACGGCGGCAGCGGCGGCGCCGGCGGCGGCACCCGCGCCAGCAGCGAGCCCAGCGCGGGGTGAGGGAGCACCCGCTCCCGCAGGCACCGCAGCAGGGAGAGACGGCGAAGGCACCGCAGGGCCAGGGCTGGGGGCACGGGAAATGGGGCTGGGAACGATCCTGGGGGGGCTGGAATAGAGAAAATGACACTAATTAATCATTAATGAGTGATTTGGGGTCATTAATGGTGAGGGAGCACCCGCTCCCGCAGGCACCGCAGCAGGGACAGACGGCGAAGGCACCGCAGGGCCAGGGCTGGGGGCACGGGAAATGGGGCTGGGAACGATCCTGGGGGGGCTGGAACAGAGAAAACAGCGTTAATTAATCATTAATGAGTGATTTGGGGTCATTAATGGTGAGGCAGCACCCGCTCCCGCAGGCACCGCAGCAGGGACAGACGGCGAAGGCACCGCAGGGCCAGGGGGGCAGGGATGGGAAATGGGGCTGGGAACGATCCTGGGGGGGCTGGAATAGAGAAAATGACACTAATTAATCATTAATGCACCCGCGCCAGCAGCGAGCCCAGCGCCGGGTGAGGGAGCACCCGCTCCCGCAGGCACCGCAGCAGGGACAGACGGCGAAGGCACCGCAGGGCCAGGGCTGGGGGGATTGGAAACGGGGCTGGGAACGATCCTGGGGGGGCTGGAATAGAGAAAATGACACTAATTAATCATTAATGAGTGATTTGGGGTCATTAATGGGTGAGGGAGCACCCGCTCCCGCAGGCACCGCAGCAGGGATAGACGGCGAAGGCACCGCAGGGCCAGGGCTGGGGACACCGGCAGAGCAGCTGGGAACGATCCTGGGGGGGCTGGAATAGAGAAAACAGCGTTAATTAATCATTAATGAGTGATTTGGGGTCATTAATGGGGGGGCAGGACCCGCTCCCGCAGGCACCGCAGCAGGGACAGACGGCGAAGGCACCGCAGGGCCAGGGCTGGGGACACCGGCAGAGCAGCTGGGAACGATCCTGGGGGGGCTGGAATAGAGAAAACAGCGTTAATTAATCATTAATGAGTGATTTGGGGTCATTAATGGGTGATTTGGGGTCATTAATGGTGAGGCAGCACCCGCTCCCGCAGGCACCGCAGCAGGGATAAACGGCGAAGGCACCGCAGGGCCAGGGCTGGGGGCACGGGAAATGGGGCTGGGAACGATCCTGGGGGGGCTGGAATAGAGAAAACAGCATTAATTAATCATTAATGAGTGATTTGGGGTCATTAATGGTGAGGGAGCACCCGCTCCCGCAGGCACCGCAGCAGCGACAGACGGCGAAGGCACCGCAGGGCCAGGGCTGGGGACACGGGAAATGGGGCTGGGAACGATCCTGGGGGGGCTGGAACAGAGAAAATGACACTAATTAATCATTAATGAGTGATTTGGGGTCATTAATGAGTGATTGGGGTCATTATGGTGAGCACCCGCTCCCGCAGGCACCGCAGCAGGGATAAACGGCGAAGGCACCGCAGGGCCAGGGCTGGGGGCACAGGAAATGGGGCTGGGAACGATCCTGGGGGGGCTGGAATAGAGAAAACAGCGTTAATTAATCATTAATGAGTGATTTGGGGTCATTAATGAGTGATTTGGGGTCATTAATGGTGAGGGAGCACCCGCTCCCGCAGGCACCGCAGCAGGGATAAACGGCGAAGGCACCGCAGGGCCAGGGCTGGGGGCACGGGAAATGGGGCTGGGAACGATCCTGGGGGGGCTGGAACAGAGAAAATGACACTAATTAATCATTTGGGGTCATTAATGAGTGATTGGAATCGTTAATGAGTGATTGGAACTGTTAATGGGGTGTTTGGGGTTAATTGGGGGGCACAGGCGGCGCAGGGGGTACACCAGGAGAGGGGATGGGGACACTCCTGGGGAGGCCTGGAATAGAGAAAAATGACGTTAATTAGAGATTGAAGTCATTAATTAATCATTGGGACCGTTAATTAATCATTGGAACTGCTAATTAATTGTTGGAACCATTGATAAGTGATTGGGGGCAGGGACAGGAACAGGGGGGCTGCAAGAGGCAAAGGAGGCATCAAAACCCCCCCTAAATCCCCAAATCCAGTGACTTTCACCCCAATTTGGTCCATTTTCACACCAATTTTGGGGGTTTTCACCCCAATTTCACGTTTTTGCCCATTTTCGCTGTTTTTCCCCCCAAACCTCGCCCTTACCGGGTGTGGTGTTGGGGGGCAGGCGGCACAGACACCCCAAACCCCCAACTGTGATGATTCACCCCCCAATTTGAGTGATTTTCCCCCTGAATTTCTAATTTTTTACCAATTTTCACATTTTTGCCCGTTTTCGGTGTTTTTCACCCCAAATTTTCAGCGTACCCTGTGTGGTGTCGGGGGGCAGGGGGCACAGACACCCCAAACCCCCAATTCCAGTGACTTGACCCCAATTTCAGTGATTTTCCCCCCGATTTGGCTGATTTTCCCCCCGATTTTCTAATTTTTTACCAATTTTCGCATTTTTGCCCATTTTTGGTGTTTTTTCCCCCAAATCTCGCCCTTACCCGGTGTGGTGTCGGGGGGCAGGCGGCACAGACACCCCAAACCCCCAATTCCAGTGACTTGTCTCCAAATTGGGTGATTTTCCCCCCAATTTTCACATTTTCCCCGATTTTCTCATTTTTCCCCAATTTTTGCCCATTTTCGCTGTTTTTCCCCCCAAATCTCGCCCTTACCCGGTGTGGTGTCGGGGGGCAGGCGGCACAGACACCCTAAACCCCTAATTTCAATTACTTGTCTCCAAATTGGGTGATTTTCCCCCCAATTTGAGCGATTTTCCCCCGATTTTCTAATTTTTTACCAATTTTCCCATTTTTGCCCGTTTTTGTGGTTTTTTACCCCAAATCTCGCCCTTACCCGGCGTGGTGTCAGAGGGCAGGCGGCACAGACACCCTAAACCCCCAACTGTGACAATTCACCCCCCAATTTGGGTGATTTTCCCCTGGATTTCCCGTTTTTCATAATTTTCATGTTTTTACCCGTTTTTGGGGTTTTTCACCCCAAATTTTCAGCGTAGCCAGTGTGGTGTCGGGGGGCAGGCGGCACAGACACCCCAAACCCCTAATTTCAATTATTTGTCCCCAGTTTGAGCGATTTTCTCCCCGATTTTCACATTTCCCCCGATTTTCTCATTTTTCACCAATTTTTGCCCATTTTCGCTGTTTTTCCCCCCAAATCTCGCCCTTACCGGGTGTGGTGTCGGGGGGCAGGCGGCACAGACACCCTAAACCCCCAATTTCACTCCAATTTGACCAATTTTCCCCCTGATTTTCCCGTTTTTCCCCGATTTTCTGATTTTTTACCAATTTTCACCCATTTTTGCCCGTTTTTGCTGTTTTTCCCCCCAAATCTCGCCCTTACCCGGTGTGGTGTCTGGGGGCAGCTGGCAGACGTGCCGGCACATGGCCACGAAGCCGTGGTAGAAGCGGGTGAGCTCCTGGTCGGAGCGGCGCTCCAGGTTGGCCAGGGCGCGGAAGCGGCCCCAGCGGAACCTTCCGGAAGCCGCGTCCAGCTCCACCCCGAAGGTCGAGGCCACGCGCAGGAAATCCGACTGCTCACGGCGGCTCCACCTGGGGGAGAGAGAAATTGGGGTGAAAACACGAAAAAACGGGAAAAAATGACAAAAAACGGTAAAAAAAACGACAAAAAACGGCCCAGAAATGACCCAGAAATGGAAAAAAACCACCCCAAAAATGCCCCAAATTCCGACTGCTCGCGGCGGCTCCACCTGGGGGAGACAAGGTTTGGGGTGAAAAAAGGAAAAAACGGGAAAAAACATGAAAAAAACGGGAAAAAATAGTAAAAAAAACACCAAAAAATGACCCAAAAATGGGAAAAAACGACCCAGAAACACAAAGAAACACCCCAGAAACGCCCCAGAAATGCCCCAAAACGCCCCAAATCCGACTGCTCACGGCGGCTCCACCTGGGGGGAGAGGAAATCGGGGTGAAAATGGGAAAAAACGGGAAAAAACGGGAAAAAAAGGACAAAAAATGGTAAAAAAAGAGAAAAAATGGCCCAGAAATGGGAAAAAACGACCCCAAAATGACCCAGAAATGGAAAAAAACAGCCCCCAAAACTGCCCCAAAAATGCCCCAAATCTGACTGCTCACGGCGGCTCCACCTGGGGGGGATGGAAATTGTGGTGGAAATGTGAAAAAACGTGAAAAAACACTCAAAAATGGTAAAAAAAGACCCAAAAATGGGAAAAAACCACCCAGAAACACCAAAAAACCACCCCAGAAACGCCCCAAAACCGCCCCAAATCCGACTGCTCACAGTGGATCCCAAACCCCACCTCTAACCCCCAAATCCCCCCAAATTTGGAATTCCCACTCCCAAATCCCCCCAAATCCCCCCAAATTTGGGATTACCCCTAAACCCCCTCAAACCTCTCAAATTTGGATTTCCAAATCCCCTCACCACTGCATGTTTGTCCCTGCTGCCTGCCTCCTCTCCCCCTGGGGGGGTCCACCCCAAATCCCCCAAATCCCCCCAAATCCCCCAAATTTGGGATTCTCCCCAGACCCCCAAATCCCCCCAAATCCCCCCAAATTTGGGATTCCCCCTCACCGCTGTTGTTTGTCCCTGCTCCGGCGCTGCCTCCTCCTCCTCTCTCGTGGGTCCCACCCCAAATCCCCCCAAATCCCCCAAATCCCCCAAATTTGGGATTCTCCCCCAGACCCCCAAATCCCCCCAAAATCCCCCAAATTTGGGATTCCCCCAAACCCTCACCGCTGCTGTTTGTCCCTGCTCGGCGCTGCCTCCTCCTCTCCCCCTGAGTGGTCCCACCCCAAATCCCCCAAATCCCCCAAATCCCCCAAATTTGGGATTCTCACCCCAGACCCCCAGACCCCCAAATTTGGGATTTTCCCCCAAACCCCCAGACCCCCAGACCCCCAAATTTGGGATTTGCCCCCAAATCCCCTCACCGCTGCTGTTTGTCCCTGCTCGGTCGCTGCCTCCTCCTCTCCCCTGAGGTCCCACCCCAAATCCCCCAAATCCCCCAAATTTGGGATCCCACCCCAAATCCCCCAAATCCCCCAGACCCCCAAATTTGGGATTCTCCCCCAGATCCCCCAAATCTGATTTCCAATCCCCCAAATTTGGGATTCCCCTAAATCCCCCAAAATCCCCCAGACCCCCAAATTCGTGCCCCCTCACCGCTGCTGTTTGTCCCTGCTCCGTCGCTGCCTCCTCCTCTCCCCCTGAGTGGTCCCACCCCAAATCCCCCAAATCCCCCAAATCCCCCAAATCCCCCAAATCCCCCAAATCTGGGATTCCCAGCCCCCAGACCCCCAAATTTGGGATTTCCCCCAAACCCCCTCACCGCTGCTGTTTGTCCCTGCTCCGCGCTGCCTCCTCCTCTCCCCTGGAGCGGTCCCACCCCAAATCCCCCAAATCCCCCAAATTTGGGATTCCCACCCAGACCCCCCCAGATCCCCCAAATTTGGGATTTCCCCCAAACCCCCTCACCGCTGCTGTTTGTCCCTGCTCCGTGCTGCCTCCTCCTCTCCCCCTGAGAGTCCCACCCCAAATCCCCCAAATCCCCCAAATTCCCCCAAATCCCCCAAATTTGGGATTTCCACCCAGATCCCCCAAATTTGGGATTTCCCCAAATCCCCCAAATTCGTGTCCCCCTCACCGCTGCTGTTTGTCCCTGCTCCTGCGCTGCCTCCTCCTCTCCCCTGAGTGGTCCCACCCCAAATCCCCCAAATCCCCCAAATTTGGGTTCCCACCCCAGATCCCCCAAATTTGGGATTCCCCCCAAATCCCCAAACCCCCCAAATTTGGGATTCCCCCAAACCCCCTCACCGCTGCTGTTTGTCCCTGCTCGGCGCTGCCTCCTCCTCTCCCCTGAGGTCCCACCCCAAATCCCCAAATCCCCCAAATCCCCCAAATTTTGATTCTCCCCCAAATTTGGGTTCTGCCCCAGACCCCCTAAATCCCCCCAAATCCCCCCAATTTAGGATTCCCTTCCCAAACCCCTCCAAATCCCCCAAATCCCCCAAATTTGGGATTCCCACCCAGACCCCCCAATCCCCCAAGTTTGGGTATCCCACTCCCAAATTTGGTGTCCTAGCCCCTCCCAGCCCCCAAATTTGGGATTCCCACCCCAAATCCCCCAAATCCCCCCAAATCCCCCAAATTTGGGATTCTCCCCCAGACCCCCAAATTCCCCAGATTCCCCCCAAATCCCCCAAATTCGTGTCCCCCCTCACCGCTGCTGTTTGTCCCTGCTCCGGCGCTGCCTCCTCCTCTCCCCTGAGTGGTCCCACCCCCAAATCCCCCTAAATCCCCCAAATCCCCCAAATTTAGGTTCCCTCCCAAACCCCTCCAAATCCCCCAGACCCCCCCAAATCCCCCAAATTCCCCAAATATCCCCCAAACCCCCTCACCGCTGCTGTTTGTCCCTGCTCCGGCGCTGCCTCCTCCTCTCCCCCTGAGGCGGTCCCACCCCAAATCCCCAAATCCCCCAAATCCCCCAAATCCCCCAAATTTGGGATTCCCACCCCAGACCCCCCAATGTCCCCAGACCCCCAAATTTGGGATTCCCCCAAACCCCCTCACCGCTGCTGTTTGTCCCTGCTCCGGCGCTGCCTCCTCCTCTCCCCTGGGGTCCCACCCCAAATCCCCCAAATCCCCCAAATCCCCCCAAATCCCCCAAATTTGGGATTCCCACCCTAAACCCCCCAGATCCCCCACACCCCCAAATTTGGGATTTCCCCCAAACCCCCCTCACCGCTGCTGTTTGTCCCTGCTCCGGTGCTGCCTCCTCCTCTCCCCTGAGGGTCCCACCCCCAAATCCCCCAAATCCCCCAAATCCCCCCAAATCCCCCAAATTTGGGATTCCCACCCCAGACCCCCTAAATTTGGGATTCCCAAATCCCCCAAACCCCCAAATTTGGGATTTCCCCCTCACCGCTGCTGTTTGTCCCTGCTCCGTCGCTGCCTCCTCCTCTCCCCTGGGGGTCCTGGGGTCTCCTGCTGGGGGCGGGGCCTCCTCCGGCCCTGGCCCTGCCCCCGGCCCCCGCCCTCTGCAGGGCTCCAATCAGGCGGCGGAATCGGGCCGTGAGGGGCGGAGCCTGCGGGCCAGGGGGCGGGGCCTCCGAGCAGGACGAGGCGGGAGGGGGACCTGGAATTTGAGGGGTCAAAGGTCAATGCAGGGGGTCAAGGGATTTAGGGATCAAAGGGGATTTGGGGAGCTGTTTTGGGGTATTTTTGGGTGGGTTTTGGGGTATTTTTGGGGGTTGGGTTATTTCTGGCGGGCTTTGGGGTATTTTTAGGGAGCTGTTTTGGGGTTGTTTTATGGGGGATTTTGGATTATTTTTAGGGAGGTTTTGGAAGTATTTTTAGGGGCTGTTTTTGGGCTGTTTTTGGGGGTTGGGGTATTTTTAGGAGGAGCTTTGAGGAATGTTTTTGGGTTGGATTGGGGTATTTTTATGGGGGTTTTGGGGTATTTTAGGGGTTTGGAGTATTTTCAGGGGCTGTTTTTGGGGGGTTGTATTTTTAGAGAAGGGTTGGGGCAATTTTAGGGGTTGGTTTTGGGAGTATTTTTAGGGGTTAGGTTATTTTGGGTGGATTTTGGGGTATTTTTGGGGGTTTGAGTTATTTTTAGCGGGGCTTTTGGGGTGTTTTTAGGGGGGGTTTTAGGGTATTTTTAGGGGCTGTTTTTGGGGCTGTTTTTTGGGGGGCTTGGGGTATCTTTAAGGGGGTTGGGTTATTTTTTGGGGAGGTTTTGGGGTATTTTTAGGGGCTGTTTTTGGGGTATTTTTAGGAAAGTTTTGGGGTATTTTTAGGGGTTGTTTTGGGGGGTTTTGGGTTATTTTTGGGTGGATTTTGGGGTATTTTTGGGGGGTGGGTTTGGTTATTTTTTGGCGGGGCTTTTGGGTTATTTTTGGGTGCGTTTTGGGGTATTTTTAGGGGCTGTTTTTGGGGTTGTTTCAGGGGGGGTTTGAGGTGTTTTTAGGGGCTGTTTTTGGGGTATTTTTAAGGGAGATTTTGGGTTACTTTTAGGGGGATTTTGGGTTATTTTTAGGGGTTGGTTTTGGGGGTTTTTTTAGGGGTTGTTTTTGGATTATTTTTTGGGGAGGTTTTGGGATATTTTTAGGGACTGTTTTTTGGGCTGTTTTTGGGGGGTTGGGGCAATTTTAGGGACTGGTTTTGGGGTATTTTTGGGGGTTGGGGAATGTTTTTGGGTGGGATTGGGGTATTTTTAGGGGAGTTTTGGGGTATTTTTAAGGGGCATTGAGGTATTTTTGGAGCTGTTTTTGGGGGTTTAGGGTATTTTTAGGGGGATTTGGGGTATCTTTAGGGGCTGGTTTTGGGGGTATTTTTAGGGAGGATTTTGGGGTATTTTTGTGGGGAGATTGGGGTATTTTTAGGGGGGTTTTTGGGGTATTTTTAGGGGCTGTTTTAGGGGCTGTTTTAGGGGGGGTTTGGGGTGGTTTTAGGGGTGGTTTTGGGGTATTTTTAGGGGAGATTTTGGGTTACTTTTAGGAGGACTTTGGGGTATTTTTAGGAGGAGTTTTGGATTATTTTTTGGGGAGGTTTTGGGGTATTTTTAGGAGGAGATTGGGGCAATTTTAGGGGCTGGTTTTGGGGGTATTTTTAGGAGAGGTTTTGGGGAATGTTTTTGGGTTGGATTGGGGTATTTTATAGGGGTTTGGGGTATTTTTAGGGGCTGTTTGGGGAGTTTGGGGTATTTTAGGGGTTGGGTTATTTCTAGGGGGATTTTGGGTTATTTTTAGGGGTTTTGGGTATTTTTAGGGGCTGTTTTAGGGGCTGTTTTTGTGGGAGGTTTGGGGTGTTTTTAGGGGTGATTTGGGTAATCTTTAGGGGTTGGTTTTGGGGTTCTTTAGGGGGTTTGGGGTGTTTTTAGGGGTTGTGGGGTATTTTTAGGGAGATTTTGGGTTACTTTTAGGGGACTTTTGGGGTATTTTGGGAGGTTGAGTTATTTTAGGAGAGGTTTTGGGGTATTTTTAGGGGACTGTTTTTGGGGGATTGGGTATTTTTAGGGGGTGGGGTATTTTAGGGTGAGTTTGGGGTATTTTTAGGATGGATTTTGGGGTATTTTCAGGAGCTGATTTTGGGTGGAGTTGGGGTATTTTTAGGGGACCTTTTGGAGGTATTTTTAGGAGATTTTGAGTTACTTTAGGGGGTTTGAGCATATTTTGGGGACATTTTAGGGTATTTTTAGGAGGATTTTGGGTTATTTTCGGGGGGTTGGGGTATTTTGGGGAAATTTTAGGGTATTTTTAGGAGGGATTTTGGGTTATTTTTAGGGGAGGGTTAGGGGTATTTTTAGGGGTTGGGGTATTTTTAGGGAGGTTTTGGATTATTTTTAGGGGGTTTTGGGATATTTTTGGGTGAGTTTGGGGTAATTTTAGGGGATGTTTGGGGTATTTTTAGGGATTTGGGGTATTTTTGGGGACATTCTGGGGTATTTTTAGGGGTATTTTGGGTTATTTTTGGTGGGTTGGGGCATTTTAGGGGATTTTAGGAACGTTTTGGGTATTTTTGAGAGGTTTTGGGGTATTTTTGGGTGGGTTTTGGGGTATTTTTAGGGGTATTTGGGTTACTTTTAGGGGTTTTGGAATATTTTTGGGGACATTTTAGGGTATTTTTAGGAGGGATTTTGGGTTATTTTTAGGGGTTTAGGGCATTTTTAGGGGAGTTGGGAGTATCTTTAGGGGGATTTTGGGTATTTTTAGGTGAGGCTTTGGGATATTTTTGGGGGGTTTGGGTTAATTTTAGGAAGATTTTAGGGTATTTTTAGGGGTATTTGGGGTTTTGGGGTGAGTATTCTGGGGGATTTTAGGGATATTTTGGGATATTTTTGGGGAGGGTTTGGGGTATTTTTTGGGGACATTCTGGGGTATTTTTAGGGGGGGGGTTGGGATATTTTTTTTGGGGAGGTTTTGGGGTATTTTTAGGGGCTCTTTTGGGCGGTTTTAGATTATTTTTGGGTGGGATTTTAGGTTATTTTTAGGTGGGGTTTGGGGTATTTTTTGGGGAGATTTTGGGGTATTTTTAGGTGGGGTTTTGGGGACATGTTGGGTTATTTTTAGGGGTGTTTTGGGTTATTTTTTGGGGTGGTTTTGGGGTATTTTTCTGTGGGGTTTGGGGTATTTTTTGGGGGGTTTTGGGTTATTTTTACAGGAGGTTTTGGGGTATTTTTAGGGGATGTTCTGGGGTATTTTTAGTGGGATTTTGGGGTCTTTTTAGGGGGTTTTTTGGGGACATTTTAGGGGAGATTTTTAGGTTATTTTTAGGGGTGTTTTGGGTTATTTTTAGGGGGGTTTTGGGGTCTAGCCCCCTCCCCCTTTACCTTCCTCTCCGTCCACCACCGAAATCTCCTCGTCCAGCCCGGCCAGGGGGTCACTCTGGGAGGGGGTCAAAGGTCACTGGTTGGGGGGGGGTTGGTCATCCCACACCCCCCTAAATTTCTAAACCCCAATTTTGAGGAGTTTTACCCCAATTTTGGGGGGTTTAACCCCCATTTTTTTACCTCCTCAGCCCCCCCCGCCGCGGGTTTGTACTCGGGGTCCTCGGGGTCTTTGTCGAAGTCAGGTCTGAAAAGGGGATAAAAGACCCCAAAATCAGCTCAAAGTGCCCCAAAATCAGCTCCAACTCCCTAAATGAGTGGAATGGCCCCAAATTGCCCAAAATGGGGCGATTTGAGCCCAAAAAAAGCCAAGGTTTTGGTGCCTCAGCCCGAGGGGTGAACTCAGCCCGGCCCCGGGGCCGGTCGGTATTAGCATGGCTGGGTCATCAGGGGCACCCAAACTGGGGAGACCCCAAAAGGGGGGGTTTTAAGGGTTGGGGTTTGGGGCGTCAAAGCCCCGAATCCCCCTCAAAACCACCCCAAACCCCCTCAAATCACCCACAACTCAACTCAAATCCCCCCAAACCATCTCAAGTCCCCCTCAAAATCACCCCAAATCCCCCCAAACTCCACTAAAACCACCTCAAAATCCCCCAAACCACCCCAAATCCCCCCAAACTCCCCCAAACCATCCCCAATCCCTGCTCAAATCCCCAAAACCACCTCAAATCCCCCAAACTGCTCCAAACCACCCCAAAATCCCCAAATCCCCCCAACCACCTCACCCCCCAAACCCCCTCAAATCCCCCCAAATCCCCTCAAATCCACCCCAAATTTCTCCCAAACTCCCCAAATCCCCCAACTCCCCCAAACCATCCCTAATCCCACCTCAAATCCCCCAAATCCCCCCCAATCCCCTCAAATCCCCCAAATCCCCCAAAACCACCTCCAAATCCCCCCTAACCACCCCAATCTCCCCAAACCATCCCCAATCCCCTGAAATCCCCCAAAACCCCTCAAACTCCCTCAAATCCCCAAAATCCCAAATCCTCCCAAAACCACCCCAAATCCCCCCTAACTCCCCCAAAACCACACCAACTCCCCTCAAATCCTCCCAAAACCACCCCAAATCCCCCCTCCAATCCCCCCCAGCCCCATTTTGGGGGTCCCTCACCCGTCGGGCCCCTCCAGCCTCTGCTCGGCCGCCACGGCGGTGGCGTCGGGGCCGCCGGCCTTGGCCAGGAAACAAAGGGCGGGGTCCGCCCGCATCGTGTGGTACCGCTCGTAGCCTGCACAAAAACCCCAGAAACCGACCCAAAATCAGAGCCAAAACAACCACAACGCACCCCAAAAACCGCGGTGGAAATATCCCCAGAAACGGCCCCAAAATCAGCCCCAAAAACCCCAAAAAATATCCTCAAAATCAGCCCCAAAACCCCCAAAAAATATCGCCAAAACAGCCCCAAAATCGACCCCAAAACAACCAGGACAGACCCCAAAAATCATGGTGAAAATATCCCTGAAAATTGTCCCAAAAAACGCCCAAAAAATCCCCAAAATCAGCCCAAAATATCCCCAAAACTGCCCCAAAAAACCCAAAAATATCCCCCAAAACAGCCCCAGAATCGACCCCAAAATCAGGCCCAAAACCCCCAAAAAACCCAGCAAAAATATCCCCAGAAACGGCCCCAAAATCAGAGCCAAAACAAACAGGACAGCCCCAAAAACCGCGGTGAAAATAACCCCAAAAGGGCCCCAAAAAACCCAAAAAATATCCCCGAAAACAGCCCCAAAATCCCCCAAAAATATCCCCAAAACAGCCCCAAAATAACCAGGACAAACCACAGAAATCATGGTGAAAATGTCCCAGAAAACGGCACCAAAGAAAACCCCAAAAACGGCCCAAAATCAGAGCCAAAACAACCAGGACAGACCCCAAAAATCGTGGTGAAAATAGCCCTGAAAATTGTCCCAAAAAACACCCAAAAATATCCCCAAAATCAGCCCAAAATATCCCCAAAACTGCCCCAAAAAACCCAAAAATATCCCCCAAAACAGCCCCAAAAATGGCCCCAGAATCGACCCCAAAATCAGGCCCAAAACCCACACAAAAATATCCCCCAAAAGTATCCCCAAAAACGGCCCCAAAAACCCCAAAAAATATCCCCAAACGGCCCCAAAATCCCCCAAAAATATCCCCAAAACAGCCCCAAAACCCCCAAAATATCCCAAAACAGCCCTAAAAACCCCCAAAATATCCCCAGAAACGGCCCTAAAATCAGCCTCAAAACCCAAAAATATCCCCAAAATGGTCCCAAAATCCCCCAAAAATATCCCCAAAACAGCCCCCAAAACCCCCAAAATATCCCAAAAACAGCCCCAAAAACCCCAAAAAATATCCCCAAAAACAGCCCCAAAAACCCCAAAAAATATCCCCAAAAACGGCCCCAAAATCGGCCCCAAAACAACCAGGACAGACCACAAAAACCACAGTGAAAATAGCCCCGGAAATGGTCCCAAAAAACCCAAAAACGGCACCAAAATCAGAGCCAAAACAACCAGAACAGACCTCAAAAATCATGGTGAAAATATGCCTGAAAATGGCACCAAAAATGGCCCCAAAACCGACCCAAAATCAGAGCCAAAACAACCAGGACAGACCCCAAAAATCATGGTGAAATTATCCCCAGAAACGGCCCCAAAAACGGTCCCAAAATCAGCCCCAAAACAACCAGGACAGCACCCAAAAATCGTGGTGAAAATATACCCAAAAATGGCCCCAAAATCAGCCCCAAAACCCCCAAAAAACCCAGCAAAAATATCCCAAAAAATGGCCTCAAAATCAGACCCAAAACAAGCAGAACAGACCCCAAAATTTATGGTGAAAATATGCCCGAAAATGGCAACAAAAAACCCAAAAAATATCCCGAAAATGGTCCCAAAATCAGACCCAAAACACCCTGAAACCCTGGCAAAAATACCCCCAGAAACGGCCCCAAAATCAGTCCCAAAAATATCCCCCAAAACCGACCCAAAATCAGCCCCAAAAACCCCCTGAAACGCCCCCAAAAATCATGGTGAAAATATCCCCAAAAACAGCCCCAAAAACCCCAAAAAATATCCCCCCAAAACGGCCCCAAAAACCACAAAAAATATCCCCGAAAACGGCCCCAAAATCAGCCCCAAAACACCCAGAACAGCCCCCAAAAACTGCGGTGAAAATAGCCCCGGAAACGGTCCCAAAAACCCCCAAAAATATCCCCAAAAATGGCCCCAAAAACCCCCCAAAATATCCCCAAAAACCGCCCCAAAAACAGCCCCAAAAATGTGCCCAAAATCAGCCCCAAAAAAATCCCCAAAAACAGCCCCAAAATCAGCCCCAAAAACAGCCCCAAAATCAGCCCCAAAAACCCCAAAAACCCCAGCAAAATATCCCCAAAACTGCCCCAAAAGGCCCCAAAATATCCCCAAAACGCCCCAAAACCCCCAAAATATCCCTGAAACGGCCCCAAAAAATATCCCCAAAAACAGCCCCAAAATCCGCAAAAAATATCCCCAAAAACGGCCCCAAAATCAGTTCCAAAACCCCCAAAAAATATCCCCAAAAACGGCTCCAAAAACAGCCCCAAAATCAGCCCCCAAACCCCCAAAAACCCCGGCAAAAATATCACCAAAAACAGCCCCAAAATCAGCCCCAAAACCCGCAAAATGCCCCCAAAAATCATGGCGAAAATATCCCCGGAAATAGTCCCAAAAACCCCATCAAAAATATCCCCAAAAACGGCCCCAAAATAAGCACCAAAAAACCCCAGAACAGCCCCAAAAACCCCAGCAAAAACACCCCAAAAAAACACCCCCAAATCAGCCCTGAGACCCCCCCAAAACCCCCCACAAAAACCCCCTAAAAACAGCCCCAAAAATCAACCAAAAAATCCCCCCCAAAACCCCCTGAGAACCCCCTCACAAACACCCCCAAAGTGACCCCAAAACACCCCAAAATCAGCCCTGAGACTCCCCCAAAACCCCTCCAATCCCCCCAAAATCGTCCCAAATCCCCCCAAAACACTCCAAATTCCCAAACTTTCCCAAACACCCCTGAGAAGCCCCCTAAAACCAACCCCAAAACCCTCCAAAACTCCCAGCCCCAAACCTCCCAAAACCCCTCCTCAAACTGCCCCCAAATCGCCCCTCCAACCCCTCAAAATGCTCTCCAAATCCCCCCCAAACCTCCCACCCCAAATCCCCCCAAACACCCTCAAACCACCTCAAATCCCATCAATCCCCCCAAACCCCCCTCAAACCACCCCAAATCCCCTCAAATCCCTCCAAACCCTCCCCCTAAATCCCCTCAAGTCCCACCTCCCAAATCCCCCCAAACTCCACCCCAAATCCCCCCAAACCCCCCAAATCCCCCCTCAAACCCCCTCAAACCCCCCCAAATCCCCTCCAACTCCCCTCAAACCCCCCAAATCCCCCAAATACCACCCAAACCATCCCCAAATCCACCAAGCCACCCCCAAATCCCTCCCAACCCCCAACCTCCCCAAATCCTCCTCAAGTCCCCTCCAAATCCCTCCCCCTCAAAACCACCCCAAATGCCCCCAACCCCCAAATCCCCCCAGGACCCCCCAAATCCCCCTCAGGACCCCCAAATCCCCCCAGGACCCCCAATTCCCCCCTGACCGTGCTTGAAGACCCCGATGAGGAGGGACTTGTCGGCCTCGGGGTCCCACCAGGCCGTGGGCACCTCCAGGGGCTCCACCAGCGGCAGCCAGAGGTGGATGTCACTGCGGGACGGGGTCGGGGACCCCAAAAACACAGTCAGGGACCCCAGAAACGGGGTCGGGGACCCCAAAAACGGGGTTAGGGACCCCAAAAACACAGTCAGGGACCCCAAAAACCCAATCAGGGACCCCAGAAACAGGGTCAGGGACCCCAAAAACGGGATCGGGGACCCCAAAAATGGGGTTGGGGACCCCAAAAATGGGATCAGGGACCCCAAAAATGGGATCGGGGACCCCAAAAATGGGGTTAGGGACCCCAAAAATGGGGTCAGGGACGCCAAAAACGGGATCAGGGACCCCAAAAATGGAGTTAGGAACCCCAAAAATGGGGTTAGGGACCCCAGAAATGGGGTTAGGAACCCCAAAAACAGGGTTAGGGACCCCAAAATTCAGTCAAGAAGCCCAAAAATGGGATCAGGGACCCAAAAATGGGATCTGGGACCCCAAAAATGGGATTAGAGACCCCCAAAAAGGGGTTAGGGACCCCAAAAACGGGGTTAGGGACCCCCAAATGGGATCAGGGACCCCAAAAACGGGGTCAGGGAGCCCAGAAATGGGTCTGGGGGATCCCAAACCCCTCCCAAAAATCCCCCAAACCGCCCCAAAAAGGGTCTGGGACTCCCCAAGAAGGGTCTGGGGGATCCCAAAGAAGGTCTGGAGCCCCTCAAACCCCTCCCAAAATTCCCCAAACTGCCCCAAAAAGGGCCTGGATCCCCCCAAAAAGGGTCTGGGACCCCCCAAAATGCCCCCAACTGCCCCAAAAAGGGTCTGGGACCCCCCAAAATCCCCCAAAAAGGGTCTGGGATCCCCCAAAATCCCCCAGACTGCCCCAAAAAGGGTCTGGGACCTCCCCAAAATCCCCCAAAATGCCCCAAAAAGGGTCTGGGGGATCCCAAAATCCCCCAAACTGCCCCAAAAAGGGTCTGGGACCCCCCAATTTCCCCCAAAAAGGGTCTGGGACCCCCCAATTCCCCCCCCCCGGGGGTCTCACCTGGCGGGGGCCCCGCTGAGAATTTTGGGGGCCTCGTCCCCGATGACCTCGTGGTGGAGAAAGTGCAGCATCCTCACCCTCAGCAGCACCCTGGGACCCAAAAACGGCACATTTCACCCCAAAAATGAAACAATTCAACCCAAAAATGGCATAATTCACCCCAAAAATGGTAAATATCACCCCAAAAATGGCACAATTCACCCCAAAAACGGCACAATTCACCCCAAAATGGTGCAGGAAGTGCAGCATCCTCACCCTCAGCAGCACCCTGGGACCCAAAAACAGCACATTTCAACCCAAAAATGAAACAATTCACCCCAAAAATGGTAAATATCACCCCAAAATGGAACAATTCACCCCAAAATGGTGCAGGAAGTGCAGCATCCTCACCCTCAGCAGCACCCTGGGACCCAAAAATGGAACAATTTACCCCAAAAATGGCACAATTCACCCCAAAAATAGCACAATTTACCCAAAAATGGCACATTTCACCCCAAAAACAGTAAATTTCACCCCAAAAACAGCACAATTCACCCCAAAATGGTGCAGGAAGTGCAGCATCCTCACCCTCAGCAGCACCCTGGGACCCAAAAATGGAACAATTCACCCCAAAAACGGCACAATTCACCCCAAAAATGGCACAATTTACCCCAAAAACATCATAATTCACCCCAAATCCGGGCTGGGAACCCCAAAAACAGCACACTTCACCCCAAAAACGGCACAATTCACCCCAAAAACAGCACATTTCACCCCAAAAACGGCACAATTCACCCCAAAAACGGAACAATTCACCCCAAAAATGGTAAATATCACCCCAAAATGGCACAATTCACCCCAAAAATGGCAAATATCACCCCAAAAATGGCATAATTCACCCCAAAATGGTGCAGGAAGTGCAGCATCCTCACCCTCAGCAGCACCCTGGGACCCAAAAACACCACAATTCACCCCAAAAATGGCAACAATTCACCCCAAAAATGGTAAATATCACCCCAAAATGGCACAATTCACCCCAAAAATGGTAAATATCACCCCAAAACGGGTACAATTCACCCCAAAATGGTGCAGGAAGTGCAGCATCCTCACCCTCAGCAGCACCCTGGGACCCAAAAACAGCACATTTCAACCCAAAAATGGAACAATTCACCCCAAAAATGAAACAATTCACCCCAAAAATGGCAAATTTCATCCCAAAAATGGCACAATTCACCCCAAAAATGGCACAATTCACCCCAAAATGGTGCAGGAAGTGCAGCATCCTCACCCTCAGCAGCACCCTGGGACCCAAAAATGGAACAATTCAACCCAAAAATGGAATAATTCAACCCAAAAATAGCACAATTTACCCAAAAGTAGCACAATTCACCCCAAAAATAGCACAATTCACCCCAAAATGGTGCAGGAAGTGCAGCATCCTCACCCTCAGCAGCACCCTGGGACCCAAAAATGGAACAATTCACCCCAAAAATGGAACAATTCACCCCAGAAATAGCACAATTCACCCCAAAATGGCAAATTTCACCCCAAAACTGGCAAATTTCACCCCAAAATGGGCACAACTCACCTCAAAAACAGCACTTTTCACACCAAAAACATCATAATTCACCCAAAAGTGGCATAATTCACCCAAAAATAGCATATTTCACCCCCAAAATGACACATTTCACCCCAAAAATAGCACATTTCACCCCAAATCCGGGCTGGGAACCCCAAAAACGGAGAGCCCACCCTGGGTTGGGATCCCAAAACCCCACAGATTTCACCCTAAAAACCCCCCAAAAAAAGATTTCACCCCAAAATCCACAGATTTCACCCCAAAAATTTCACCCTGAATTCGACATTTTTGCCCAAAACTTGGAATTTTAACCCCAAAATTTGAGTTTCTGGACCAACTGGTGGTGGAAGCGCTTCCTGTCCTGGAGCAGCCCCTCGGGGTTGGGACCCCCCAAAACCCCCCTTTTTCCCCCCAAATCTCAGGTTTTGACCCCGAAATCAGGGTTTTTTTGCCCAAAACTTGCAGATTTCACCCCAAATTTGGCCCCCCAGACCCACTTGCTGCACTGGTGCCTCAGGTGCTTTCGGTAGCCCTCGTCCTGGAGCAGCCCCTCGGGGTTGGGACCCCCCAAAACCCCCCTTTTTCCCCCCAAATCTCAGGTTTTGACCCCCAAATCTCAGGTTTTGACCCCAAAATTCGGAGTTTTTTGCCCAAAACAGGCAGATTTCACCCCAAATTTCACTCCCCAGACCCACTTGCTGCACTGGTGCCTGAGGTGCTTTCGGTAGCCCTCGTCCTGGAGCAGCCCCTCGGGGTTGGGACCCCCCAACCCGGGGCTGGGACCCCCCAAACCCCCCTTTTTCCCCCCAAATCTCAGGTTTTGACCCCAAAATTTGGAGTTTTTTGCCCAAATCTTGGACTTTTAGCCCCAAATTTGGCCCCCCAGACCCACTTGCTGCACTGGTGCCTCAGGTGCTTTCGGTAGCCCTCGTCCTGGAGCAGCCCCTCGGGGCTGGGACCCCCCAAAACCCCCCTTTTTCCCCCCAAATCTCAGGTTTTGAGCCCAAAATTCGCGGTTTTTTGCCCAAAACTTGCAGATTTCACCCCAAATTTCACTCCCCAGACCCACTTGCTGCACTGGTGTCTCAGATGCTTTCGGTAGCCCTCGTCCTGGAGCAGCCCCTCGGGGCTGGGACCCCCCAAAACCCCCCTTTTTCCCCCCAAATCTCAGGTTTTGACCCCAAAATTCGCGGTTTTTTTGCCCAAATCTTGGACTTTTAGCCCCAAATTTCACTCCCCAGACCCACTTGCTGCACTGGTGGCGGAGGTGCTTTCGGTAGCCCTCGTCCTGGAGCAGCCCTCGAGTTGGGACCCTCAAAACCCCCTTTTTCCCCCCAAATCTCAGGTTTTGACCCCAAAATTCGCGGTTTTTTTGCCCAAATCTTGGACTTTTAGCCCCAAATTTCACTCCCCAGACCCACTTGCTGCACTGGTGGCGGAGGTGCTTTCGGTAGCCCTCGTCCTGGAGCAGCCCCTCGGGGTTGTGCCTGCGCAGCCACTCGGCCTGGGGGGGCTCCAGGGGGGGCAGCGGCGGCTTCGGCTTCTTCCCCTTCCGGCCCCGCCCGCCCGGCACAGCCACACCTGGAGGGGGGAAATGAGGAGAAAACGGGAGGAAATGGTCAAAAACGGGGAAAAACGGGGAAAAAACGGCCAAAAACGGGGAAAAACGGGAAAAAAACGGCCAAAAACGGCAAAAAACGGGAAAAAAATGGGAAAAAAAACGGCCAAAAACGGGGAAAAAACGGCCAAAAACAGCAAAAAACGGGGAAAAAACAGTGAAAAACAGGGAAAAAACGGCCAAAAATGGGGAAAAAACGGCCAAAAACGGGGAAGAACGGGGAAAAAATGGGGAAAAAATGGCCAAAAACAGGGAAAAAACAGCCAAAAATGGCGAAAAATGGTGAAGAAAAGGTGAAGAACGGTGAAAAAATGGCCAAAAATGGTGAAAAAACGGGGAAAGCCGGGAAAATGGGGAAAAAATGGGAAAAAATAGGGGAAAATGGGGAGAATCGGTGATAAAATTGGAATTCCCCAAATTGCCCCAAAACAGGACTGGAACTGCCCCCAAAGAGCCCCAAAATGGAGCTGGAACACCCCCAGAAATGGGATTGGAACCCCCCAAAGAACCCCAAAATGGGACTGGAAGCCCCCCAAAAATGGGATTGGAACCCCCCTCCCCAAAACAGCCCCAAAATGGAGCTGGGACCCCCCCAAAAATGGGATTGGAACCCCCCAAAGAACCCCGAAATGGGGTTGGAACCCCCCGAAAATGGGATTGGAACCCCCACCCCAAAACAGACCCAAAATGGGGCTGGAACCCCCTCCAAAAATGGGATTGGAACCCCCCCAAACTGCCCCAAAACGGGGCTGGAAGAACCCCAAAGTGCCCCAAAACAGAGCTGGAAAAACCCCCAAACTGGCCCTGGGAGAACCCAAAGTGCCCCCAAAACCCCCCCAAACTGGCCCTGGGAGAACCCAAAGTGCCCCCAAAACCCCCAAACCGGCCCTGGGAGAACCCAAAGTGCCCCAAAACCCCCCAAACTGGCCCTGGGAGAACCCAAAGAGCCCCAAAACCCCCCCAAAATGGAGCTGGGAGAACCCAAAGTGCCCCAAACCGGCCCTGGGAGAACCCAAAGTGCCCCAAACCCCCCCAAACTGGCCCTGGGAGAACCCAAAGAGCCCCCAACCCCCCCAAATCGAGGCTCCCCGGGGGAGGGGGGTGGTCTCTCACCGGGCTGCCCGTGGGGCGGGCGGGCGCGGCCGTTCTCGGGGGGCGCCACCAGGGCCCAGGCGAAGGCGCGCACGGCGTCGTCGCCGCGGAAGTGCAGCAGGCAGAAGAGCAGGATGGCGCGGCACAGCGACTCCACGTCCCGCTCCGACAGGCGCCGCTTCAACCGGCCCTGCGCCACCAGCTCCCGCCAGCGGCCCCACCTGCCGGGGGGCAACGTGGTCAATGGGGGTCAACGGGGTCAATGGGGGTCAACGTGGTCAATGGTGAGTCAATGGGGTCAATGGAGAGTCAATAGGGTCAATAGGGGTTCAATGGGACCAATGGGGCCAA